GGGGTACTCTGGAAGGGATTGTGGGATCCTCCCCCCACCCAAGAGCTGAATGGTTTTGCTCTCCCTGCACTGCCTCACCACAAATTCAAAAGGAAATGGACTGAAACCTCCAAAACTGTGAGCCGAAACAAACCATATCTTTTTATAAGCTGATTATCTCAGATAATTGTTGCGTGACAGAAAGCTGACCAACACACAAGTGTGAGATGCTCTCCAACACACTGAGTTTTTTCCCAGATCACTCCATGGTGGGTCAGAAACTAGCTTGAGAGGAACTTCCAAGAGACAGGACCAGAGAAGGAGGAGCAACTAGAAGAGGTAGATAAAATAGCCATAAAACTTCCATGAAAGTGAAAACATGGGACACTTCCTTAAAAGTGAAAACACGAGAGGGATGGGGTATATAAAATGTGATACTGAAGGCAGATCTATTAACAAAGGATCTTTGGGGATGGCCCAAGGCCTGTAGTACTCTACCTAGTCCAAGGGAACATCTGACCATGGAGGTTGAAGTTTAATGAGAGGATATTGTGCACTGGTATGTCTGTTTTTCAAATCCAGTTCCTCCAAACCAGCCTATAGATCATCTTCCCTAATTCATGAAATGGGAATCTTGCATTTTTTACAAACCCTGGAGTACATTTGGTTCTCAAGTGCAGGGATCATGTTATATTTTGAAATAAAAATTGTAATTGGATTATGCTCAATTACAGTTGCAATAGGATTGGCTCTTGGTATAGAATATGAATGAGGTCAACCTAAAGGAAGTAATTCATTCCTCTAATGACAACATCTTGGTCTATGAAATGAAAAAAAGATCAAAGCTCATTCAAAAATAAATGGATTTAATGGAACAGTAGTTAAAGAAGTCTGGAGAATTCATTTTATTTTCATTGTATAATATCTGTTTCTCATAGAGTTGTCTTGTTCTTTAGTACTTTTTATTCTTACAACTGTGCATGGGTTTGATTAGCTTAATTAGAGTTAATGTCTTGGGAGCAGAATGTGGGACTGTGAAAGTTTGGGTTCTTGCAGGCTTTGAAAAAGGAATTGTTGGCCTCGCTCTGCATAGATTCAGAATCGAAAAAGTCTGACAATTATTATCATCTTAAAATAATTGAAGCACGGCTAAAAATAAAAAGCAGAAGGAGAAAAAATTGAACTCAAATAAAAGGAACAGAGTTAGCCCAGATTTGGATACAATTCTTGCAGCAAATTGAGCTTAAATCTGAAGTCTTAGGTAATGGAAGGTGGATGCCAAAAAAAAAAAATTCTTTCTTCCCTCTGAATTTGTTAACAAGGACAGTCTTCCCCATTCTATAGTGTTTCCTTCCCTCTTCCTCCTGCTATCTGGGACTCCACTTGAGACTGAGAGGAACTTGAGAGGAAAATGCCACTTCAGATTAAAGTGCTGTCAGATCTCACTTATTAACTGGCACAGGGTCTCACATCCGGAGCCAGGAGGTCTCTGAGGAGAGCATGTGAGGAGCTGCGGCCTCACTTACAGCACTGAAGGGGCCAGGCGGCCCCCTCCCTTCCTCGTGATTAAACCCAGGGTCCAGCCTTAGGCTGAGTTCCAAGCTGTGCTTTCCAGCCACGCTCCCTCTCTGGAAGGAGGGGAAATTGCACAGATCAGGACCCAGTAGTGCACCGAGAGAGGTGTCACATGCCTGTAATCCCAGCTTCCCCAGGAGGCTGGGGCAGGAGGATTACTAGGAGTTCAAGGCCAGCCCGGGCTACATAGTGAGACCCTGTCTCAAAAAAACAAAACGAAATACTAGGGAATAGTGATAGGTCCTGTAAGTGTACGTGGGGTGGGGTGACACAGAGAATAAACAAATAACAGTCACAACAACTTTCTAACAAGAACATATTTCTATCAGTGATTGGTGTTAGACTAATGACATATATTGTAGGACGTAGTAGAAGTTTTCCATTTTTTTTTATTTATTTTTTTATTGGAGAAGTACTAAATGTGGTACCCAGTGGCTTATATATGCTAGATAATTGCTCTGCTACTTAACTGTATCTCCAAGCCTCCATTCTCCACATTGCACATTTAAAAAATTAATATTAGTTGGGCCTGGTGGCACAAGCTTGTAATACCAGCCCTCCAGAAGGCTGAGGCAGGAGCAAGTGTTCTAGCCCACTTTGGGCAACTTAGCAACTTTATGAAAACTTGTGTCAAAAAGTAAAAAAAAAAGATGAGGATATAGTTTAGTATGAAGGCCCTGGACTCAATCCCAAGTACCAGAAAAAAACAATCAATGCATGTTTCTTTATAGAGATTTTTTTCTTATAAATAATTGGGTAACATCAACTGGAAGTTTTTATTTAATAGCATTTCTGAACATTCATGCCTTTTCTAAATCAAACAGGTTTTAATATGTTTAATATTAGTGTTCAATATTAGTTGCAGTTCTTTGAAACTGTAACAATTTATATACAGTGAATTCATTTAGTCATTCAACAAACACTGACTCAGTCCCTGCTCTATGCAGGCTGTGTGCTTGGTACTATTTCAAGTACCTCTGTGAGAATCAGTCCTATTCTGTACATAATATAATTCCAGAATCCTCTCATTTCACTCTGGCTGGAGATAATAGGGAATTTACTCATTTATCTATTAATTTGCCCATCCAATTCTTCTTTTAGGCCAAATTTAAAGTCACCATGGGCTGAAATTTGCTAATTTCTCTCTCTCTCTCTTTTTTTTTCAGTACCTAGGATCGAACTCTAGGCAGGTGGCGAAACCACTGAGCCGAATCCCCAGCCCTGCCAGTTTCTCTTGATGGAGACTTTGACCATTTAGCTTTTGCTTCAGTCACAGCCACCTGCGGAAAGGTATGAATAGAGAGAGTCTCCCCCGAAAAAGCCCTGACTGTACCTGGAGAGGGTGACTCAGAGGAGAAAACATTTACTGAATGGTCGTCTGATTTCTGTTGCTATAACAACAGAGCCTGGAGAATTTACAAAAAATCAAAGTTTACTGGGTTCATGGGTCTGGGGGTTGGTAAGGCCAAGAGCACGGCCCGACATCTGCCTGGCATCTAGTGAGTGCTTGTGACAGCAACTTTACTGAGCAGAGAGCATCACAGGAGGAGACAGAGCCACGTGCCAGCTGGGTCCCTCTTCCTCTTCTTAGTACCACACTGTCGCTGCCACGAGTCCCCACCCGGCAGCCTTCTCTAACCACAATTCCTTCCCAAAGACTACAGACCTGAATGCCGTGAACATCTGAGCTGGAGAATTAAATTTCCAGCACAGAAAACTGTGAAGGAGGAAAGTTGGGTTGGAGGCAGGCTTTCATTTGGAGTTAAGAGGAAAATTTGAAAGTTTATTTATTTTGGTTCTGGGGGTTGAACCCAGGACAGGAACTCCCTGAGCATACACTCTATCACGGAACTCTTCCTGGCCCTGAGATATGTTAAAGTAAAGAATTAAGTATTTCCAGGAACGAAGTGAGACATACAGTGGAAAACTCTACAAGGAGCTCCTTCCTTCCTGCCCAGCTCAGCACCATTTACAGAGCTTCTGTGGGGAGAGCATGGGGTCCTCCCTCCTCACGGGAGGTACCTAGTCAGGGAGCCCAGGTGGGGGACATGGACCCCTCCTTTCTTTCCCCTTAGCTGTATTGAGGTTTAATTGACAAACAAAAATTGTATATATTTAAGGTGTACCAAATACACCACGATGTTTTGATATATGTATACATTGTGAAATGATTACCACAACTAAGCTAATTAATATATCCATCACCTTACCTACTTACATTGTGTGCATGAGTGTGTGTGTGTGTGTGTGTGTGTGTGTGTGTGTGTGAACTTACATTGTGTGTATGAGTGTGTGTGTGTGTGTGTGTGTGTGTGTGTGTGTGTGGTAAGAATAATTAAGATGAGCTCTGTTAGCAAATTTGAAATATACAGTGCAGTTTTATTATCTAGAGTCATCATGCTGTATATTAGATTTCCAGAATGTATTTATCTTATAGCTGAAATTTGCAGCCTTTGACTCACACCTTTTATTTCTTTGCCCACTAACCCCTGACAATCAACCTTCTCTTTTAAAATAAGAATTTTATGAAGACCTCAAATCATTTAATTTATCCTATAGGATATCATTGAGATTCATGCAGTTTACTTAATTTCCTTTCTTTTGTTTTTTCTTAATAGTATTAATTAGGGATCTCATCTAGTGCTTTAAAACAGGATGCCCCAAAATGTCATGTCTTTAAATCACAAACTTTGATAATCTCAGTTTGGAGGTTGGAGTCAAGAATCTGAAAGCAGCTTAGCTCGGGATATGGTTCAGGTGTCAGAGCAGGACGGAGGGAAGAGTCACAGTGGTTGGCCTGGGTCCTGGTGATTATTGGTGGCCTTGGGACTTGGGTTTCTCTACAGAGCCAAGTCTAACGTGGCGGCTTGCGTGCTCCATAGCAAAGTCTTTGAAAAAGGACAGAGAGAGAGAGAGGTAGTCAGACCCTCTATAACCTAATTTTGGAAGGAAATTCCATTACTTTTGCTGGGTTTGCATTCTTTTCGCTGGCTCTGTGGCATTGCATTCAGCCCACACTCAAGGGGAGAGGATTACACAGTGGCCCTTCAGGACCCATTCTAGAGGCTGCCTACCACAGAGTTTTCATGTTTCTTCTCTCTAAAGATATGGACCACACTGCCTGGATCACGGGAATGAGGATGGAGGGGACATGGAGGGATCACTCTTACTGGGAAGACTTCTCTCATGGCATCCTGGGATAAGTTCTGTTTCTTCTGGGATAGAGAGTTGAATTAAACCAGAGCTGTCCGGCTCCCTGATGATGTGTGGGTCTCCCACCCTGGAACAGGGAGAGCTGGTACCGTGCTTTGTTAAACTTAGTTTCCCAGCACCTCCCACTCTCCTTGGCACACATGCTTTGTTCAGTCATAATTTGCGGTACTGAATGAGACGGTGAAAGCATTATTAAAAACATAAAAAAGAGGCGATTACTTTTTATCGGCCTTTATTAGCTTTTAAACAGTATTCCCTTTTGATAATAGCTCACACATCATTTCTTCCACCTCCTCAGATGCGGGTAGGGCCCCTGCACAAGAATCCTCCTGGTACACAGAGGGGTTGTGGATATTTCTTCACCGGCCCAAGAGCAGATCTCCATGGTGCTCCTTTGTGTGTCTTATTCTAGGAAAGCAGCAGTGCTGTCCTGCCTCCAGTGTAGGATTACAACAATGAGTAACCCTTTACACATTCACTGCTCCAGATTCAGTCCTGGGGGAAGGGTTAGCCTCCCCACCCCTGATTGGAGAATTACTGCTCCAGGTTAATCTCTGAACCCTTTTACAGCTCAGGATCCCGTAAGCCTGTTTGTTGCCAACGTTTGGTCGGGAGATGAGTGGAGACGAGAGGGATTTAAAAAATATATTGGGCAGCTTTGTTCTTAGGCTGGTATGGGTGCCATTGTGTATCTGGAGAGGGTTTGTGGTCAGATTTTGATTATTTGCTAGTTTTGGCAACTGTTGAGATGTTAGATCTCATATTGTTTCTATCATTTTTTATAGTTTTGAGTTTAACTCTTGGTGGAATGTTTTAGACACACAGCAAGACCCTGGAACTTGATTTAAAACAGAGCTGTCAGTAGTGCCTCCCTTTCTACTCAGGGCTCACCTGGCAGGCTCTGTGTCCAGACTGAGGGGTGGCGTCACACCTTTCTTCCCTCTTTGTGGATGGTAGCGTACTCTTAGTGCTGCGTGTGACCTCAAACACACATAGACCTTACTGCTTGTAAAGAGGAAGATTAAATTCACCCAAATTGGGCCAGTCAACATCTATGTTATTTGTACTATATGTATTACATATTCCAACACACTGGGAAGCTGAGGCAGAAGGATTACAAACTCAAGCTTGGGATGGGTAAACCAGCAATTTAGGGAGACTCTATCTCAAAAAAAAAAAAAAAAGGCCCAGGGATTTAGCTCAGTGGCACCACCTCTGCCTGGCAAGTACAAGGGCCTGAATTTGATCCCTGGTATCAAAAAATAAAAGGGCTAGGATGTAGTTTAGTGCAAAGGCCCTAGGTGCAATCCCCATTGCCACACACACACACACACACACAGATGAATTTATTTAAAACGTATTCTCCCTTAACACTTGCATACTTGTGTAGGGAAGGGTGCTGGGGAGTCTCACCCATGCTAGGCTAGCAGAGCCCTGTAGCACTAAGCTCCACCTTCTGCCCAATACTTCTCTTTCAAACACCTGCCGCTACCTATTTCTTCCTATAGTATTACACATTTCCTGAGAATTTCACCATTCAGCAGGCAGTGGTCAAACAAACTCCCTAACTTCCAACCTGCCCCTTTCCTACCACCAAGGAGTTTAGGCTCTTCGTGTTCAAGCTTCATGCTTAGGATGTTTGGGGAAGTCACTTCCGCATTCTTGCCCCATCCAGAGCCTTCTCCAAGCCTGTGGCGAAGGGCACACACTTCTTTGTGTCTGCCTTAAGGAGAGAGGGGCTGCTGTCTTGGCTGTCTGGAGCAGCTGGCTGTGTTGCTTATTGTCTCTTAACTGTGGGCCAATACTGACGTTTTTATGGCCCCTTATTATACTATTGGTTTTTCAGTTCATAGCTCAAAATTGTATCGATAAGAATATGACATCCAGGCCTTGGGAAATCAATTCCATGTCCTGGATTCTTCACATGCCAACAGTTTAAGTCACACAGGCAGAGCGCTGTGTTAGGCACACTATATAAACTATACACATCCCAGTTGGCATTGTTTTGTATTTGTAATTCCCGAAAACCTGTGGTGACACAGGCAGGAATCTGGGTAGCAGTACCACCTGACTATTACTGCTATTTGCCTGAGCTATTTGCAGGTCATCATGGTGGCCAGTGGCCTGTTAACTGTCTCACCTGCAAACATTCTATCCACATCCCATGAGCCCTTGCAGGAGTTAAAGTTGCATTGTTTGCTTTTGCAGAGAAAAAAATCAACTCAGATGCTTAACATAATAGAAATACATGGACTGATGGAAAACTATGATGAGTGTTTAAATAAAAAATATTTATTGCAATAAAAGGCAAGTGGCTTTTAATTGCCCTCAATATACTCCCCCTCACTTCGAACACCCTTATCCCATCATGCTTGCCACTTTCTGAAGCAGTCCTGGAAGTTATCTTGCACGAGTGCCCTTATGAAGTGTAGTCAAAAATACAGCGAATGCTTCTGAGTGGCATCCAATGGAAAAACAGGCTTATAAATGCTACAGTGTGTCCTTGTCCACCGTATTCATGAAATTTGGAACCAGAGTTAATCCCACCTGCAACTTCATTATCTTCCAGGGATTTAGAATCCTCCCTATTTATCCAATGGCAGGGCAGGAAGTGCAGAGAGCTGTATGGAAGACTCTCATGTGTCTGCCATAGAAGTAGCTACCATTCCCTGGCCAGGATGCAATGCCACAGCCCAAAGAGGTTGTAGCTGTAAGCATATCATGTGCTGCCTTAGCCTTGGTGCAAGCGGCCCCAGTCCTTACCGTGCCCCTGCTCTGGAGAGCTCTGCACATGAAAAACTCGTGCATATGAATACACTTATTAAGGAACACATGGCTGCTCGGAGACATGAATCTGCTGCTTGGTGTTGGCACAGCACAGTTCACAAGCCAGACATCTGCTTACATGACTAACTTGGTCAAGGCCCCAAGGAAAGGCTTCTCCACCTCCCAAGCCTTGTTTCCTCAAAGAGAAAGGCAGCTGGTTTGGGCCTGAGAGCCACGAAGGTTGGGGGTCTTCTCACGGCTGACATCAGAGCTGGAACAGTGCCATGGAGACTGGATGGGACTCAGCAGTGGGGCTATTAGAGGGGAGAAAAAACAAACTATCCCAGAAAGCCTTCTTCTAGACAGGGAGACTGCTGGAGATCTCCGGTGTAACTAAGCATCATTCCCCAGAAGGAGGGGTGCCCACTGCCCAGCTTCTTGTGCTGACCCATGTGACATCAGAAGGACCCACAGGGTAGCTATACACTCACCCTTTAATTTTGTCACAAGGAAAGTATTTTCATCATAGTAGCGGTAGAGGTTGCCAGATTTGGCAAATAAAAATGTACGGTGTCTTTAACCTTGATTCGTAACATTAAAATATATATGATTATGATTATGGACAGTGATTCTCCATTTATTCTCTGACTCTGGTTCTCTGTACATTTGGGATAAGACTGAGCCCTGATTTCTTCTCTCTCTCTCTCTTTTATTTTCTTTATGAAGCAAAAAAAAAAAAAAAAAAAAGGATTACAGTGGAATTATTTTTCTTTCCTGAGTCCAGAGGTGGGACTCAAGACCTGTGCTAAGCCAACTGGTACAAGCCAACCTCCTGGTCCAGGGGTTGGCACAGAATGAAGCTGGTCAATCAGTGATTCTTCAGACATCTTCCCAAGTCATCTTTGATTTTTCTGCTGAATTTGAACCAGAAACACAAACCAAGTAGCTACAGGCAGTCACTTTAAATTGTAAGAGTCACTTACACAGACCCTCCTTGACCAAACACTAGCAGTGTTTCTTCTCTGAGTCCTCTTTCCAACTAGCCCTTGACCTTGCCTCCCATCCTGACTTTGGCCTGCTCAGCCCAGTTTGTAAGAATCTCACTAAGTTATCTCCCTACTTCAATTACTTTATCGCACTGAGAGCTGATCAAGGTCCTCCTGTCACCTTCTATGACTAAATCGTTGATCTGCCTTTAGCAAGAATCTTGAATCCTTAACCCTCTCCTCTTAATAATTTCACATCTACTGACCCTTCACCCTGCTCTATAAATGGCTATAAATCCCCACTTGTCTTTGTTGTAGTTGGACTTGAGCCTGACTATCCCCACTATTTTGTTAGCCCTATGGCTATCATCTTTAATAAAGTCTTCCCTACTGCAATAAATGTAAGAAACATTTTATTTACAGTACCCTTAGGATGAACACCAAAGTAGGAAGAGTGGAGAGAGAGAGGGACAATGTTCTTAGAGCTAAGGTTGAGTTGGTGGATCAAGTCCATGTGAACCTGGTCTCAAATACTAACTCTTCATTCACAAAGCTAGGGAATGTCCTATATTGATTGTCCTATATTGTGTGAATTAGGTGTTATGATATTTGCCATCAGAGACTCCTGACACTGGGAATGATTAGGTAGGACGGCGGATCCATAGTAGCAGATCCTGGCTGTGACATCTGTCACCCCATTGGTCACCAGGGTTGATTAGGCTAATCTGGCTGGCTAGACGCGTGTCCCCTTCCTCCCTCACCACTCTATGTGCATCCCTCCTGAAACTGCACACTCCATCAAAGAGGACGACCACCCCTGATAGAGGAGGACCATTTACTCTGTTAAGAGTATTCAAGTAGCTGTGCTCCCCTGCTAGAGCCTCCAAACTAGTAGAATGCAAAGACAGTTTAAAAAAAGAGGAGATACCAAGAAATATTCTCACTAAGGAAGCTATTAGTGCTTTCAGAATGAAAGTGAGCAGGGCAGACTGCTGAGCAGTCCTAGAACTAGGGGGCTGTGGATAAAGGAATGTCATAGTAATTGCTAACTAATGCTTATTGGAGCTGATTTTGCATTCAATCCTGTTCTGAACACATTCCATGCGTTATTTTACTTATCCGGTCGATAAAATTAAGGTGTGTCATGTACATGTACCAATGCCCCACGATGAATGTAATTATTATGTACTGCCAACATGTAATAGTAAAAATAAATATTTTTAAACATACCCCACGTGGCACATGTTATTATCCTGTTTTGGAGGGGGAAAAAACTAAAGAACAAAGGGGTTAAGTGACTTGAGCAACGTCACATAGCTAGTCACTGGTGGATCTGGGATTTGAACGCAAGAAACATGAGGCCAGAAAAAAAAAAGGCTTTCAGAAGAAAAGATAGTGTTTCATCTGAGAAACAGGCATTTTTAATGCCTCAAGTTTACCTTCTCCAAGAAATGTTTCCAGAGCACACCAGCCTCCCAGAGCCCACGGTTCCTGGCCTCTTTCTGTTTGTGATGTCTTTGCCACTCACACACCTGGAAAGGATTTGTTATCTCTGTGTATGTCTCTCCTACCTTGCAGGACTTGGATGTGCCAGAAAGTGAAGGGCCTGTCCTTTACTTGCCTGACAGCTCTGTGCACGATGCCAGAGCTGGGATGTCAGGTGGCTCATCTCTGCTGAACATGCTGACAGTGAGCTCTGATGTGGTCCCCAGGTCTCTCTCTGCTCAGCCGGGGCAGAGAGTTGTCAGACAATACCTACCAAGATGGGCCTGGGGCAGCAGGCAGGAGGCCAAAAAGTGAGAAGCTGTAAAATTCATATTCTGTTATGGTTAAATGAAACAGTACAACCACTTTGAAAAAGAGTTTAACAGTTTCTTAAAATGTTTACAAACTTATAGCCATCACCTGATTCAGCAATCCTTCTTCGAAGTGTTCACCCACAAGAATCAACTCCATATGTACAACTCCTTGTTCATGAATTTTCATCACAGCTCTATTTATTCTGGGTTAAAAAACAAACACCCTGGAGACCAGCCAAATGTGACCAACAGGTGAATGGATAAATCAATTGTAAATTCATACAATGGAATGCAACAAGAGTAAGAATAAAGCTATTGATACACATGGGAACATGGAGACTCTTAAAATACCTATGCTTCACTTATGCTGCGTGAAGGAAGTCAGAGAAAAAAGAATGCATAATGTGCAACTCATTTATATACAAGTCTAGGAAATGCAACTTATCTACAGTGACAGAATGCAGCATGTGTCTGTCTGGGATCCAAGAAATGGGAGGGAATGAAATGATCATAAAAGAGCTGAAATTTTGGTGATGATTATCTTGACTCATGGTTTCATGGATGTGTACATATGTTACAAGTTACCAGGTTTATACTTCGAATACTTGTATTGTAATGTGTATCATTTATATCTCAACGTAGCTGGAGGAGAAAAGATAATTCTGGAAGTAGCTTAGAGGCTGCATGGCCAAGACTCAAAAGGGGGTCTCTCAATAGGAGCCCCTGTGCAGTAGGCAAGAGGATAATAGCTTAGAGAAGGATAAGAGAAGGGGATGGATTTGAGAGCTGTTCACAAGGCAAAATCTAGAGAAGGAATCAAGGACAGCTGCAAGGCGTTTGGCTGGTGTAGCTGGGTGGATGGTGTGCCCTTCAGAGAGATGGAGGAGAAGCAGGTTGAGAGTCAGGAGGCAAGGAGTTTACTTTTTTTTTGCTTGTTTTTGTATTTTGGGACAGAGTCTTGCTAAGGTATCCAGGCTGGCTGCAAATTTGCAATCCTCCTGCTTTAGCCTCCCAACTGCTGGGATTATAGTCCTGCACCACTTTGTCTGTCCTGGAGTTTAGTTTTGAATGGGTTGAATTTAGGAGCTTATGAAGTATCCAGAAATAAACAATTTTGATAGAAGTCTAAAAATTTAAATTATGTGAGGTCAGAGAGCACATTATCTGTGTTATGCCTGTATAGCAAATAAATAGTAAGGTAACTGTAGTGACTTTAAAAATTCCAAAGAAGTGGATAAGAAGCTGTGAGATATTCTGATGCTTTCTTTTCTGTTTTAAGCTGTGAACCTGGTTTTATCTGTAGTCTACTCCGTTCTGGACATAGAACACTACTGGCATCTCCTACGGGTCTACCTAGAACTGGCCATCTGGTGACAAGAGACTGACAAGAAAGCACGTAAGCACCCTAATGTGCTATAGGGTCAGTGAAAGGCTTCTGTCTAAGGGACCTCAGGTGCCAGCAAGAAAACTGTCAATTCCATCTGGTTAGCTGGGATGCTCAGAG